TTTGAGACAGTCTCACTATGTAGTTGAGTCTGACCTGGAACTCACTATGTAGCCCAGGCTGATCTCCAACTCGCAGCGATCCTCCTGCCTCAGCCTCCCAAATGCTGGGATTACAGGTTTGCGCCCAGGCCCAAATAGACTTTTGATTCCCCAGTGCTGTGTTTGGTATTTAGGTTCATGGTTTTTGGTTTTTGTTTTTAGCTGTACTAGAAATTAACCCCACTCTACAATATCCCTGGCTATTTTTTTATTTTGAGACAGGGTCTCACAAAGTTGCTAAATTGCCCAGATAGGGTTCTAATTTGTGATTCTTCTCCCTCAGAGTCCCAGAGTGCTGGGATTACTGGTGTGTGCTGCCATGCCCAGCCAGGTTCATCCTTAGGAGTGGTTCTTTCTCAACTGGGCACCCTTGGGAGTTTGTGGGGAAAGGCAGGAAATATTCCTAAGTATGGAATTTCATATTTGGGACAGACCTGCAATTAATCCCTTCCTTACCTTTTTAAAAAGTGATTTTTTAAGTCTGAGTAAACCTACATGTAAAACAGAAAAAGGAAGTAAATTGCTTCCACAACAGATTCACTCAAATAGAGTATTTATCTCCATTTCCTTTGTTTTCTAGGAGCAGGCTGCCCTCTGGGGTACGCAGTCTTTGAGCAAGAAGGCTTTTAGTGCGTTTGACATTAACTACAAGCTTCAAGAGATTCCTCTGGGCTTGAATGCACCACCCTGAACTGTGGTATTTTCAGAACCATTGATGCCGATGAAAATACATAGCAAGCTCTGTACACAGACTTGCTTAGCTCTGAATGTCACTCCCCTGTACGAAGCCCTGGGAGAATAGGAAATTATTTTCTTTAAATCCTGCTGTTTATCAATTTTCATGGACCAAACATTGACTTTCAATTTGTTTATTTTTAACAGAATACTAGAAGTCGCAAGATGTTCTCAACTAACAGATGTCGGTTTTACTACTTTGGCCAGGGTAAGTGTTTTCTCCAGGTTTCATAGGTTTGCTGCTGGAGGTTTTGTTTGGGATTTTTTTTTTACTTCAGAAGAGTGAGCAGCAAGTAAAATATAGTATGGCCACAGAATTGGGCCTGTGAGGCAGGGGAGCTCCTATGTCTGTAGGTGGCAGACCTATATGGCAGACCTGCTGGTGCCATTAACAAAACAGACTACCAGCCAGGCACAGTCAGTCGTACATGCTGTCATCCCAGCACTCTGGGAGGTTGAAGCAGAAGGATTATAAAATGAAGCTAAGCTTGGGCAGTTTAGAGACATCCTATCTCAAATTTGGTTTTTTTGTTTTTGTTTTTTGAGACAGGGTCTCACTAGCCCACACTGGCCTTGAACTCAAGGTGATCTTCCTACCTTAGACTCCCAAGTACTGAGATAATAGGCATGTGCTCCCACACCTGGCTCCTGGCTCAGATTTTTTTTTTTTTTTTTGGTACCTGGCATTGAACTTGGGTCCTTGCACTTGCAAGGCAGGCCCCCAAACTGCTGAGCTAAATCCCTGGCCCTGGTTCAGATTTTTTTTTTTTGATGGCTGGAGATGTAGCTCAGTACCAGGGCCCGGGGTTCAATCCCCAGTATCATGAAAATAAAGAGTACAAGCTGTTCTAGAAAGTCAGGCATGCATGGGAAAACCAGACACTCTGTGAGACTCTTAAGATGATAAACTCAGGCTTCCTGGTGCTTTGTGAAAGAAGCCTGTTATTTGGTATATTACTAGTCAGTGTGTGTAGTGTTTAATGTTAAAAGCAATGTAAGCCTGAGCTGAGCATGGTAGTACATGCTTGTAATCCCCTATCGGGGAGGGAGGCTGAGGCGAGAGGATTGCTGAATTTGTCACAATTTAGATACTGTATCAAAAGAAAATCCTAAAAAAGGGCAGAGGGTGCACCTTGATAGTAGAGAGCACATGCCTAGCAAGCACAAGGCCTGCGTTCAGTCACCAGTACTAAGAAAGAAAAGTAGGGAGGAAGAAAGGAAAGGTAATAACTGCTTTGACCAGTATTAGGAACAGAGGGACAGTCATTCACTTTCTGGAAGACAAGTAGAGTGCTAATTGATGACCTGGACACCTAACTACGGGAGAACATAATTGTTTTCCTGTCTTCCAGAGAAGCAATTTTCTTACTTAATGTTTGAAAGGATCTCTGTATTATTAGCCCACCATCATCAGCAAATTTATTCCTGTGTATTTATATTAGATGTTTATATGTGGAATAATTTTAAAATGTCACTGTAATCAAAGCCTAAGATTTCATTGGTATATTTAATACTACCTCTTAGTTTTCTGCCTGTAAAGTATTATTCCCATGTTTTAAATGTGTATATGGTATTTTTTGGTTTGTGCTTTGTAGAATTGCCACGAGCTTGAAAAGATGGACCTAGAAGAATGTGTTCAGGTAAGATTGCAGGATTTTATTCACAAATACACTGCGATGGGAATTTACACAGACAAGTCCCTTCCTGGTGTGGGACCTAGTGGTAACTCTGCCTGTCCACTCACTGAGCTGTCTGCAGTCACTCCTGGTGGGTGGCTATGGCCTGTGTCTTAAAGAGCTATGAAAATAGATGCTAGAAGGGGCTAGAGATTTAGCTCAGTTTTGCCACTGCCTGCCTTGCAAGCACAAGGACCCCAGTTTGATCTCCATTACCACAAGAAAAAAAAAATAGATGCTGTGGTCAGACTATCAAAAAGGCACCCAAGTGTTCAGGCCAAAAAGCTGTTCAAAGTTTTTGGAGCTAAAGGTGTGGGGAAGGTGGGATGGGTAGGGGAACGGTAATAAGAGAAAAGAAAAAAATGTGAGATAATGAAAAGATGCAAATAAAGTGCTTGTAGATGGAGAGGGGAGGAGGGGGTGAAGGGAGGGCAGGGACAAGGGGAAAAAATGAGAACCAAGACCTATCATATAAAGGTACAAATTCCCAACAATGAATGTAACTGTACTGTATCCCTAAAATGTACCAATAAACTCAATTAAAGCTGAAAAAAAGCAAAACAAAACAAAACAAAAAAACTAGCACTGCTATCTAGTCTTAGGAGTTTCTCATTTCTGCAGTCCCCTATATGTTCAGAATAAATGTAATTCACGTACTACAGACCACAAAAAGAGTATATTCTTTTATTGGTTTTTGTTCATAATTTTGTTTCAACTTTTGATAAAATTTAATAAATTTAATTCCTTAATCATTAAAAAAAAAGTTTGTTTTATACTGGGCATGTTGGCCTGAGCTGTACTCTCAGCTCTCAGAAGGCTGAGGAAAGAGAGTCACTCAGGCCTTAGCAGGTTAAGGCCAACGGGAGCAACACGGTTCTGTCTCATTTTTTGAAAATTTTATTTTCAGTAGATCTGCAGAGTTGCGATTCTAGTTGTACTAGTATACTTTAATACCCTAGTATACTGCTCTGTAACACTGTAATTTTTTAGCTTAACTGGACCTGGATCCCTTCATTAGCCCTGGAGACTTTACACTCTGTGGAATTCTACACTACTGACTTGATCAACAATTTTTATAACCAGTTTTAAGACTTTTCAGCCAGATGTGCATATTTTTAATACCAGCACTCTAGAAAGTTGAGGCAAGAGATTCATGAGTTTAAGTCTAATGGTAGAAATTTTAGCAACTTAACAAAACCCTATCTCAAAAAAAGAAAAAAATTTTAAGGGTGAAGATTGAGTTCAGTGTGAGGATCCTACATTCAACCCCCAATACCCCCCCAAGAAAAGGATTTTACATATTATTAGATTGATTGAAAAAAACTTTTAGAGGGAGAGCTCTAGAAAGTAACAGAATTTTTAATGGTAAAATAAAAATGGGAGGGTCCAGGGATTTAGCTCAGTGGTTCCACCCACCTGCCTCACAAGTGCAAAGACCCAAGTTCGATCCCCAGTACGAAAAAAAAAGACATACGTATTTTAGGGGCTTGGGATTCAGTTCATTGCTTCTTCCACCTGCCTTGCAAGTGCAAGGACCTGAGTTTGATCACTGGTATAAAAGATAAATTAGGGCCGGGGATTCAGCTCAGTGGTTCCACCACCTGCCTCGCAAGCACAAGGACCCGAGTTCGATCCTGGTACCAAAACAAAAAAAGATTAATTAAATTAAAATGGAAGATAATAGCGGGATCTAATGGTGCAGGCCTGTAACCCCTGCACTCTGGGAGACTGAGGCACCAGAATGACAAGTTCAAGTCCAGCCTGGGCAGCTTAGTGACAGATTGAGACTCTCTCTTTTAAGAATCCATTATTTGATATCTGTATTTAAAGTATGTCAAGGAGGAAATATAGCCCGTGACTCTTTGGAATTATACTTAAATATGTTTCTTTCAGATAACTGATAGCACGTTAATCCAACTTTCTATACACTGTCCTCGACTTCAAGTGTTGGTGAGTTTGACTCTCAGAATTCATGTATTTGCTGGATTGAATCAAAACACAGTGCCATGGTTTGTTTAAGAAACAGCTTTTAATTTCCTTGCAATATCTAGCGCCATTTTGGTAAAGTTTGCTTCCCTGAGTTGCCAGCTTCCAGAGGCCAGGGAAGGTTTCAGTGAGGTGGGGAGTACGATAGGGACAAGAGTTAAAACACTGCTAGTGTGGATGCGCAGAGCCTGAGACCTGAAGGAAGGGAAGCACCATCCAGGCTGAGTCATATTTTGACACTTACATTGCAAGAGATCCAGAGGATGAGGTGGTCCAGATTACCGTTAATTTCACCCTTGACCTGTGTCCTTATAAAACAGAAGCAATCCAATCCTTAGTCGCCAACTTCTTGCAGCTACCATCAGTGATTCTCTAGGAAGCTGTTTTGCTGGGTGTGATAGTGCACACCTTTAATCCCACCATTCTGTGTGCCTGAGGCAGGAGGGTCACAAATTCCACCACAGCATGGGTAATTTAGTGATACAGCAAAACCCTGTCTCAGAATAAAAAGTTTAAAAAGATGTGAGCCGGCTATGGTGGCCCATGCCTATAACCCCAGCACTTTGGAGGTTGAGGCAGGAGGATCACTGTGCGTTTGAGACCAGCCTGGGCTACATAGTGAGTTCCAAGGAAGTCTCAACTACGTAGTGAGACCCTGTCTCAAAAAAACAAAACAAAAAAATAGATGTGGGATATAGCTCAGTGCAAAGCCTCTGGGGTAATCACCAGTGCTGCAAAGAAAAAAAAGACGACCAGTAAGACACTTTGGTTCCCTGTTGTGTGTCCAGTCTCATTTTTGGAGTGTTTAGTAACCCCATACTCCTAAATTGGATCGAGAGTTCAGAACTTTCCAAAAAATTGATTCAAAGAGAATTGATGAAGAGGTGTGCTCGGAGATGATCCCAGTGATCTTCAGTTGATTCACTGTTGAGTCAGGCCCTACCTACACCAAGTAGTATTTAGTCCAGATACCTGAGAACTTTGCGCATAAAAAGCTTGATCGCTTCTCAGCCCTATTGAGAAGAAAAGTACTAATTTGGGGAGGCTTAGTTTTAAAAGGTATCTTGCTTTGCTAATGAAGTTCAGAGTCAAAGTACATTTAGAGTAACTCATGAAGGTCGATCATGGATTGCTGCACGCAGACCCCAGCACCTCTAGGTGCCTCCTTCGTTCTGTCATGCATGGATTCCGTGGTGGCTCCATATTCATCGAGTCACACCAGAAAGCACTCCTGACGGTGCACACCCATCCTCCCTTCCTGTGGCTGCAGAGTCTGTCCCACTGTGAGCTTATCACAGACGATGGCATCCGCCACTTGGGGAATGGGGCCTGTGCGCACGACCAGCTGGAGGTGATCGAGCTGGACAACTGCCCACTCATCACAGACGCATCCCTGGAGCACCTGAAGAGCTGTCACAGCCTGGAACGGATCGAGCTCTATGACTGCCAGCAGATCACACGCGCAGGCATCAAGAGACTCAGGGTGAGACAGCCACAGTGCTCTCCTCACGTGTTCCCAGCACTCTGCCTTTCCTTGCCTTTTTCCTTTTTCAGATCCGGATTCCTGTTGTTTTTATGGTTATTTGGATATCTAGTGAGGAGGGAAAAAATGGAGAGCAATTGTAAAGACAAAGATACCTTTTTTGTTGTTGTTTTGGTACTGGGGATCAAACTCAGGACCTTGGGCTTGCAAGGCAGGCGCAGTGCCACTGAGCTGCATTTTCGGACCAAAACGTTTATTTTTACTTGTGGTTCCAGATGAAAGTTTGGTAGAGAAATACCCATTAAAGGGAAGACAGGTAGGTCTTCTCTCAGCAGTTTGTCCAGAATGTTCAGAGTTGATCACATCCCCAGAGTAAAAAAAGGAAAGAAACACTGGCCAAATTGTACTTCTCAGGGGAAAAGGAAATAACAGAGAAAATGGTTAAGTGGTATGTGTGAATCCAGGTTGTATTTCCTCTTCACATCGAACCCTTTTCCCGGGGTTCTTATTTTTTTAGCAATGAATCGGGTAGATTTCTACCTTTTCTTTTGTGTCCCCATCCTCCATAGTAGAGACAGATTCAGGTTTCAGCAGAGTAGTCATACAAAGCTAGATGAATCTGTGGGCAATTATGGAAAGATCTGCTTGGCATCTACTGGGGCAGAGGCACTCTGGTGACCTAGGACCTTACCACAGCCACTAAAAGTCCATTTGACACAGTTTTGAGCAAGTCAAGGAACACCGGAGCTCCTCTTGAGTCCACTGGCATCATTTCCTCCTCCTCTTTCAGCTGAGCAGACCAAGAGCCTGACTGCACTGGGAGAAGCCTGGCAACTGAAGAGCAGGCTGGCTCCATCCTCTTACATGGTCTGCTGACTCTAGGGTTCCTGACCTGCCTGGTCCCTAGGATCTCTTCCATCTCAGAGTCCTCAGGAGACAGTTTTGTTATGCTTCCCCCGGGTCACTTAGCACTTCTCCATTTCCAGGCTGTAAGCTCCCTAAGGACAGGATCCCCATGTTGACCATCTTTGTGCCCCTGTCACTCGTAGGTAGCATATGGCCTTGAACATAGGGGGCATTCAGAAATAGTAGGAAAGGCTAGAAGCGTGTTAAAAATGTATAGTGAGAGATTTTCTTTTTTAATAAAAAGATAAGCTGGGCGTGGTGGTACATGACTAATCCTAGCACTCAGGAGGCTGAGGTAAAATGACAGGAAGGAAAGGAGGGACGGATAGACAGACATTGTCTACAGTGACTTGGAAAGATAATTATTTTAAGCTTGCATAGCCATTTCTAACTAGGAATCTCTTTGGAACAAGATAAGAAATTAATAATGATGCTGCTGAACATGGTGACATTCTCTGGGAAGCTGAGGCAGGAAGATCATAAGTTTGAACTCAACCTGAGCAACTTTAGACCATCCCCTGACTCAAAATGAAAAAGATACAACATATGAAGGTTTGGGGATGATGTAGCTCAGTACAGAGACACTGGGTTCTATCTCCAGTACTGCCAAAAATATGTATTATGTTTTCCCCCAGTTTCATTATGAAAATAGGTACCAAAGTTCTTTCAGTTGATGGGACTAGCACAGCATAAGATGGAACAAAGGGAAGTCCAGGAATCCATGCCTCCTGACTGGTCCTCAGCCTCTCCCGCATTCATGTTGGTGGAACCCCTCAGTGGCTTTTCTGGAAAGTGGCGTGCCTGTGTTTGAGCCTCTCTCTGTAATGTTTCTATCTTGTTTCAGACCCACCTACCCAACATCAAAGTCCACGCCTACTTCGCACCAGTCACTCCACCCCCGTCAGTCGGGGGCAGCAGACAGCGCTTCTGCAGGTGCTGCATCATCCTATGACACTGGAGGGTCAGCTCGGTGAACTGGGTATTTAAGGAACTTTAGCGTTACCTGGCGTCTCCAGCGGAAGTGACCCCCGTGTTCTGGGCAAGGTCACAGAGTGAGGCAGTGTCCAGGTCCCCTGAGCCACACGTACGTATGCATCCACGCCCTCACCCCATCCATGCTAGCTCTGGCCATGGGACTGAAGTTCGTGCCAGCTTATCGAGTGGATTGGTAAAACTTAGCCATTCCTGTCGTACACGTCCAGAAGAGCATCGTAGGCCAACACAGAGGGAGGGGCACTCCAGCAGACCCAGGGTTACTGCTGTTGGTTTATTTTGTTAAGGGATTTCTCTGGGGATTTTGGAACAGTAACTGCAGTCATCCAGGGTCAAGGAAAGTATGGAAAAACAATACACGATTTGTCCAGGGACTAGAAAGACATTTCTTTGCATCCTAGAAGTGGTAGCCATCGTTATGAAATGACTACGTAGCTTCTGTGTTTCCTGTTTTCATGCCAACATGCTGAGCATGCTCACAGAGAAGGCTTGTCCATTCCTCTGGTGTTTTAGTATTCGGCCCAGGGGTTTCTTAAGTACTACATTGAAATTGCTGTGGTGCGGATGTGGATACTCAGACTGTCACTGTCTGTATCACAGCACACATCTGTCTTCCATTCTTCGTGGCTCCCTCTGCACTCTTGCTTGGTGTGTCCCCTGGTCACAATCTGCTACTCTCACAGTTGTTACTCTTTGGCTGTTATGTTTACAATTTGCATTTTGGATGATTAGTTGGGGATAGCAAACATTTTTAAAAGAGACATTATCAATAAATATTTTTTTAATTCGAAATTTTACCATTAGGGGACCCTGCTTGAATCTTTGCCAATCTGAAAAGAAAAATAATGAGAAGAAATCAAGCTAAAATTATTTTGATGAGAAACAAACCTTGCCTTTTCATTTGTGTTATATATGATAATTCGCATGTGGTGCCCAGTATTCGCCCTGCACACTTCCTTACTTAAGACTGAGGTAACTCACTAAGGAAAGAGAAACAGGAGAACTGTGTTGTTAGTACAGAATGGATGGCAAGGGCCGGGGATTCAGCTCAGTGGTTCCGCTGCCTGCTTCCCAAGCACAAGGACCCGAGTTCGATCCCCGGTACCAAAAAAAAAAAGAATGGATGGCAAACTGAGCCTGGAGGTCCCTAATCCCCAAGCTCATACATCAATAATCTTGTTTCTGCATTCCTGAGATCTAGGCATGATCGCTGGCATCTCTGCCCTGCTGGTTGCAGTGGCGGTGCTGCCAGGGGAGCTGTGCTCTCCAGCAACAGCCCATCACGAATACACGAATGCCCTGTCACATCCGGCCAAGTCCGTGTCAGTGTTAACAGCTTCATAGCCATCCTTGGTACTCAAAGGGCCCAGGCCACTTCAGTCATCTCTTCTGCCCTGAATTTCCTTTAATGGAATGTGAAAGTGGCCATTTGAAGAGATTAAGTATCTGGAATAGAATCCTAAGAGGCATTAAAAGGTTCCATTTCTCTGACCCACTTGGCCTGGCATCATGGCTGAGGAAAAAGATTCAGTACTGATGAGTCAGAGTCTGAGAAGCTCTCCCCCTAACCAGGTAACAATGGCACACACCTGTAATCCCAGCTGCTCAGCGTGCTGAGGCAGGAAGAGCACATGTTCAAGGTTAGGCTGGGAGACTTGGCAACACCCTCACACTAAGTAAAATGAAAAAAGTGGGCTGGAGAGGTCACTCAGTGGTAGAACACCTGTTTAGCATGTGTAAGGTCCTTACCTAATGGTAAGGTCCTGTGTTGTCCTCAGTGCCATCAAAAGGGAAGGAAAAAAGAGGAGCTCCTTACTTAAAGATACAGAGGCCGGGTATAGCAGCACATGCTTATGATCTCAGCACTGTGGGAGCCAGAGGCAGGAGGATCATGAGTTTCAAGCCCAATCTGGGCAAATTAACAATTGAGCAAAACCCTGTTTCAGAATAAAATTTTGAGGGCCAGGGATTTAGCTTAGTGGTGCCACCACCTGCCTTGCAAGCACAAGGTCCTGAGTTCAATCCCCGGCAGCCAAAAAAAAATTTTTAAGGGGCCGGAAGGGCTTAGGACGTAGCTCAGAGTGCCAGGGCCCTCGGTTCAATCATAGAGAATAAAAAATAAATAAAATGGAGTTTCTAAAGTCTAAGGTTTTTTTTTTTTTAACAGGGTGATTGGAGTAGGGGTTTTTTAAAACATTAGTGTACAATCCACCATGGTCTTAGATCATCTCTTGCATAATCCAGATTGTTTAAGGGCTTATTTTAATGCTGCAAGTACTGGTTCTACCAGCATATGCAAGAATAAGAATATGCAAGAATATTTTGCTGTTAATACAGAAAGCAATCACATGAAAAGATCTTTTAAGTCTATTCCTATTATTTAGCATATTACATTTATTTTAAATCCTATTTCATTATATTCCCTTAAAAAAGCTCAGATTATTTGTCCTTTTCATTCCTCTTCAAGTTATCTTGTAACTTTTTTTTTGGGGGGGGGACGGGTGTTGAGACAGGGTCTCACCGTGTAGTTGAGACTGACCTGGAATTCACTATGTAGCCCAGGCTGGTCTCGAACTCACAGCGATCCTCCTGCCTCAGCCTGCTGAGTGCTGGGATTACAGGTGTGCGCCACCACGTCCGGCTATTGTAAGGTATATTTTTGTTTTCTAAAACAGGGTCTCACTGTGTGGGCCAGGCTGGCCTTGAACTCACAATCCTCCTACCTCAGCCTAGAAAGTGTTAGGATCCTAGATTTGTGCCCCTGCACCTGGTGCTGTGTGTGTGTGTGTGTGTGTGTGCGTGTGCGTGTGCGTGCGCGCGCGCGCACATGTTCATGCATGCACATGCAAGCACAGGGTCTTGCTGTGGTCTAGAGGCTGGTTTTGAACTCATAGGCTCAAGTGATCCTCCTATCTCTCTCCCAATGGTTGGGATGTTAAAGGCTCACACTACTCACAGCAGGAGTACGCTTTTTAATCTGAGACTTGTTCTTCTGGCTATAACCCACACGGAAAAGTACAGACAAGAAGACATACACTTCCAGGTGTGATTCATTATACTCAGAGGGCCAGGACAAATATTTGGAGGCCTTCTCCTCTAACATATATGACTTTTTTGTTTTTCCTAAACGAATTTGTACTGAAACCTATATTAGTGAATTCTGATATGGTGGGTTTTTTGTTTTTGCTTTGTACCGGGGATCGAACTCAGGACCTTCCTTGCACTTTGAGGCAAGTGGCAGAACTCACTGAGCTAAATTCCCAGCCTGTGAATTTGGATTTGAATTGCCTGATTTGAGAAGTTTGAGACCCTCTTTTTCCATCAGTACGTCAAAAGTCTTGCTGGGTGTGGTGGCTCATGCCTGTAATTCCAGCGCTCGGGAGGCTGAAGCAGAAGAATCTCTGAGTTCAAGACCAGCCTGGACCTACACAGTGAGTTCCAGGTCAGTCTCAACTACATAGTGAGACCCTGTCTCAAAACAACCAAACAAACAAAAAGTCTTAAAAATGTCATCTTTCTATGCAAAGGGCACCTCACATGCAGGCCCACCCATTGGTTTGCCCTGGTGCCCCACTGCTGAGACCGGGAGCAGAAATAAAGTAGAGGACACAGGTGTGCTGCACTGGCTCATGTGTGCTTAGTCCAGAGCCTATTTCTTTCTCAAGAATTTCATTCATTAAAATGAAACACAGCCAGGGGTGGTAGCGCAGGCCTGTAATCCCAGCACTCGGGAGGCTGAGGCAGGAGGATTGCTGCGAGTTCGAGGCCAGCCTGGGCTACACAGTTCAGAGCAGTGTGAACTACATAGTGAGACCCTGTCTCAAAAAAATATCCAAATAAATAAATGAAATGAAACTCAGTATATTACCCAAAAAGAAACTTGAGACCCAGACCCATCAAGATTGGGAGAAAAATACATTTTTTTATGCTTATTGATTCCATGGTATGTTTGGGTCAGGTGGAAGGGGTCCTGGTGTCTGAACATGTACTTCCTGTCCGCATCTGGAGTACCCAGGATTTAGAATTCAGCAAGGCTTGGCGGAAAATTTATTAGTTTATTTGCTTGATTTCATAGCCACTCCCGAATATACCTTTTATAATGAAAAAACAATGCATAGTGTGAACAGAGAAGACCCTTGAAAATAAGGTACTTTCATAGTCCTACCGTTAAATTCCCAGTGGCCGGGAGGAATCGCTGCAGTCTGGGGAAACTTCCTGGACAACATACTGCCTTGTTTCTGAGCACCCTTACCCACTCTCACTCTTCAGACTTTCCGGCACTGTTGGCTACATCAGCCCTGCTGAGGTGATTCCAGCGTCTTTCCCTTCTGTCTTTTTGCACCGTTTCCTTCCCACACCACGGTTGCCCTCTCTCGAAGCCTCTGTCATACCCCAGCATTGCGGCTGGCTTCCCCTCGGGTTCCAGTCTGGCTGCTGCTTTGGGTCCTTGTCCTAAGCAGTGCTGTGGATGGCCTTGAATTAACTTGTCGAGTGGCTCTGATCATTTTTCACTGGAGTGTCTTAGGTCTTGCTGGATTTGAACTGAGCGCAAAAACTGATGTGAAGAACATGATCTGACTGTAGCCTCTTTTCCGATAATTTGGAGCGTGAAAGCGCATTCTGCTTTGTGTTAAAAATGTTTTCTCCTATTCTGCTCTCATCTTTATTGGATCTAAAAGTATTTCTTAAATGTTTTTTTGTAAATTTCCAGTCTGATTTCCATATCCATTGTTTGGTTAGCATATAGAAATTCAGTTATTTTACATATCCTCTGTCTCAAACATTCTAGAGGGAAACCTGGTAAATAATTGAATGACACTTTCTTTGGGGCTTTCCTGCCTATTTGAATTGTTTGCTGTAACACTGATACTACAGTAGCCCAGTCTTTGCATTCATCTAATCGCCTTATAAAGTACATTTTTATGGGTGTGATAGCCCACTGCTGGTGGGGGAACCGAACAATATGCAGTGGAACCTGTTTTGGCTTGAAGTCATGAGGGTGTGTGAGAAAGGCTGGCTCCTGTGAGCAGCGTTTCCTTAGAGGCAGGGGTGTTGGATGTTGTGGTCAGCGGCGGCCGCTTCCTGTGCCTGGGCTGCAAGTCACAGACTGCGCAGAGCAGCTGCTGCCACAGGGAGGCCACCTCATTTCCGTGCGTGGTGCATCCTGGCTGACAGACCCGCATTGAGTTCCGGTGGTCTTGAGCGAGAATCCTACATCCCTCAGAGTGGTCCTGGGTCAGAGGGGTCTAAAGCAGTAGGAGGATGAAGATTGGGGATGACAGATGCGTAAGACCTTGTCAGGAGGGTGTGATTAACCCAGGATAATTTGACAGTAAGGTTGCAGATGATCATAACCAAACATCCTAATTTATTTCTTCATTCTGTGGCAAAGAACAGCTTTGCCTTTTTACTTGAGACAGACTTTCTACCTGCCGGAAACTGCCATATGAGGTGAGCTTTTTGCTTGAAGGCTGTCTGCCCCTTTCATTCGTGCCCCATCTACCTTTTCTGTCTGCTTTTATTCTTAGGGACATCAGTTTAGCGCCTCTGAAGCCTTTGGGTCTGTAGAGAAGTCAGTATGTGAGCTCTTGACTGCGTGGCTGATCTCGGGGGTCCAAGAGAGTTAGACTTTGAAGCACAGACACTGTCGGGCCGTCAGTCAGAGGACGTCCAGGGCGCTGCTTCCCTGCCTCGTGTGGGTTCCAGGCAGCCCTTGTGGAGCTCACTTGGCATTGCTTTCTCAGCCAGAGTAGTTCTTTGCCCTCTAGCAAGGAGAGCAGTCTGCGGCCCTTTTGTTTTGTGTTTTCCCCATTTCTTATTTTGACAAATTGACCTGAGGAAATGCGGTGTGGTTCTAGAATGGGGTCCTTCCTTCAGGAACAGCATCTGTTCTCAGCAGCCGTGACAGCAGCCTTCGCCTGATGGACTCCACACCCTCTTCCTGCCAGGAGGGCTCCCTGTGTCCCCTCACCAGAGAGACCCAGGTAGACCGGCACCACTGAAAGAGCCACCAGGGTCTCCCAGCTGCTGGTGTGCTCTGCTGGCTCCGCAAACAAGACTTCACAAGGAAGAGGTGGGTGGGAAGGTGTCCGGGGGTGCGTTCCCTGCCCTGCTGTGCCCCAAGAACAGGGAAGTCTTGAAGTGATGCTTTTTTGTTACCATAGAAGGAAATTTTGCCCTTCTTGCTACTTACTCTTAACTCAGTCTGTACTGCTGCTCATCCGTCTGTGTTTCTCAGCCTAACCCTTCCCAGCCTTTGAAGTCAATAATTACCTTTGGAGGGGGCTAGAGAATGAGAACCTAAAGTCTTAGAAAATCCTAACTTGAGAAAGTTTCTAACTGGTATGGTTTGATGAATTACTTTACACCGTCCACCCCAAGACAAATGATTTTCTTTTCTAGTGCTGTTATTAGTAGATCTTTACTGAGTGAAACCTTTGCTGCTACTTTCCTGGGTTTACATCAGGTTTTTCCCTTCAGAATGCTTTCTTACCTGTACTTCTCTGATGACTGTTAATTTCTAGTAAGTACAAGAAGTGGGTGCCCATGATTTCTCAGTCTCCCCTTCACTCTTACTTCACACTAAGCCTGCACAGGCCCGCGGGCGCACTGCAGGTCTGGGACCCAGCACCTACTGGAGACCTGTGGCTGCCACTCTGCTCCCCCTCCTGCCCTTCCGGGGTCTCTGTGAGGAGAGAGGCCGCTCGCTGTGCCTCCCTCAGCGCTCTGGTGGCTGCCTCCCTCCTCCCTGGAACTGTTTCCCAGTGGCTTGCTCACCTTCACCCATCTTCAGTGACCCTGAGGGCACAGACCCGAGTGGTGTGGCCTGTGCAGAGCTCAGAGAACTGTGAGGACCCCATGCCTGTCGCACTCTGCCTGGGGACAGGTGGATGGGTGCCTGGTGCTGCTGGGGAATTCTTAAC